CGGCCGCGCAGGGACCCGGAGCGGCCGGGTGCTAGGGGGTCCTCGAGTCTCAGACGAAGCGGGGCTAGTGAGAGTCGGTGAGTCGGTGAGGTGAAGTGCAGACCGAGAGTCGCGCCCCAATGGCCTTTAGAGAGCCAGGCTACTCCTGCTGCAGTGTCCTGGCGCGCGGGGGCGCGGCTCTCCTGCGGGGCGGCTGCGGAGTCCCTCCGGGGGCCATTTCTGCAGCTCCGTCTCTGAGTTCGCTCATCTCAGGCTCCCTGGTGCCTGGTCTCGTGGGGCGTTTACCGCCGCCCCTTGGCGCCCTGTTGAGACGGGACCCTGGGGTCTCCCTCCAGCTGCGCCCGGGCGCTGGCTCCACCTGGTGGTCGGGGTTGGCCCCGCGCACTGGCCCATCGCCCCTGCCGGCCTGGAAGGCCGGGTGCCCCAGCCCCCCAGCACCCAGCCGCCTGCCAGGCGGGTGTCCCTGCGCTTCCCGCCCTCCCGAGGGATGCGGCTGGCATCGCGTGCAAAGGGCAGCCGCCTGGCAGGAGGCGCATCCTGACTTCATGTCTCGTCCCCAGGGAAGCCAAGTGTGCACAGCACCGGGTGTTGGCCATCCAGTGCATTTGGCCCCTTCCTTGTCCAGCACTGACCACCGGCAAGTGGGCACTGAGTGCTTTTCAGGGACAGAGAACAAGGAGGGGTCAGCTGGCACCCACAGCCACCTCTGTGGCCTGCTGCCCCAGGGCCCAGCCACCATCATTCCCTGGAGGCTTGCCTTCCTGAGGGCAGCCCTAAGCTTGGGGCCTGGAGTCCATGTGCTGAGCCCCACGATGCTGGCCCTGAGGGGCAGGAGGGAGGCAGAGCACACCACACACCCCAGGCTTCAGCCCTGGGCTGCAGATGCCCAGGAGGCGGGGATAGGGGTCGCAGAGGGCAGGGCTCTTTTAAGAGAAAAGGCCACACTTCCCTCTGGTCAGGGAGCTCCCTTCCCCGAGAGTCTCAAGCCCTGGATTGCTCTCCCTGGGCCCAAAAGTGGATTCTCCAATGACCCATTTAGTCTGGTTCCAAATATCCACCTTGCCACGGGCAGTGCTTCTCTGGAAGCTTGGGTGAGAGTGCTCGGTGCCCTCCTGGACCCTTCCGCTTTCAAGGATTGACAAGGTATGTGCCTGAGTCAGATTAGTACAGAGACAAAATTTATTAGCAGCAACGAGACAAAGCAGACAGAGCCAGGGAGGGGATTGGCAGCCATGTCACAGAAGTGCCTGCCTGTCCTCATCTCCTGAACTGAGAGTGGAGGTCTATTTAGATCGGCTCTTGGGGAGGGGAGGGTCAGTAGCCTTCCTCTGAAGCCCCCAGCCCCACCCTAGAGGGAGTTTGCAGTGCGTGGCGGCTGCAATTGTCCTCTGGCTCCTGAGACGTGATTCACTGGTAATAACTCACCCTGCAGACACAGGGCTTCTCCCCTGTGTGTGTCCTCTGGTGTCTGATGAGGGTAGACTTCAGGCTGAAGCCTCGCCCACACTCCCTGCAGACA